CATTATCATCAGCATCATCATTATTATCATTATCATCATCATCATTTTATCATCATCTTCGATTTCCATTTTTGCCATAACGCTGCTTGGGTATGAACAGTTTGCAGCCCAGCGCTCAGTGGCTGGCACTGACTTTTCCATATGGATGAATAATGTTTATAATGTCATCAGTACATATTTCCCTTATGGACTGCCACCTCGTTTTGATAAAAAAACAACCAAAAAAAAAAAAAAAATGATAGACTCTCTGCTATCTCCCAAACCCTTCCCCCACCGGTCTGAACAAAGTAGCAGAAGGCGACTAAGTGGGTGTGTCAGGGATGTTTCCTTTGAAATCAGACTGCTTCTGTCCGTGAGGCGAGGGACCATAGTTTGCATAAAACTAAGCCAGATCTGTCAAACTAAAGTGAACACAAAACTCAAATTCTAGAGCAAGACCAAAGTCTATAAGAGGACGAACAACTATAACTTATAACCTTCCTCCGGAGTTTACGCCCAGTTAACTCTAAGCAGAAGAAGATCGATCCACCTTCTTATTTACACCCCACCTCCCTATTTACACCGCACCTCCCTGCTTTTAATTTCTTCTCTGTCACAATATAATATTTAAAGTCTCGAGTCTTTGTTGGTAATTGCGGCTGCATGCTAAGGTCATGACCGAAACATTTGATCTTCTGCTTGTCAATGAATTTGGTGCAAGGTATTGTTTCCCCCAGTCAGTCGTTTCTCACTTGGTCTCTGATAATTAAGTTAGCGGCTTTGTCAGGTATCTCATCCCACAATTGTGAAACTTACGTAGGTTAGCCCTTGGTGGTATCTAGTTTGGCTCTGGTAACGCAATGTTGGTGTAAATATACTGTTTATTATCTTTTCGTTAGCAGTCAAACTTATGTTTTGCTGTCTGAATAACCGTGTTAACTGGTGTATAGTTCGTAGTAAATACATTATTATTAATCAGTTTTACAAAAACACAAGTTCTCACATGAAACAAATAATTCTCGTGAAAACAAAAATTTAGAAACTAGTCAATCCAGTTTTGAAACTGTTTACCATTCAATGTTATAGCTGGCTTACATTCTGTAGCCTAAGTGCACATATAATGTATGTATGGTTTCGTTTATTTATGTATTGTTACACCTATTGTGTACACACTTTGATTCCTATCTTCCTTATCATTGTGTGAATTGTCCTAACTTCCAGTTTAATGATTTGTAGTTTTTTTTGTTCTCCTAATTCTGTGTGTGAACGTACACATTTTTGCTGACTTGTTTCTGCGTATTTTATTTTGTGTGGACACTTTTATGTCTTTCTTTCTCACATATTTGTCTGTCGGGCATTTTCATTTTCTATTGAGCTGTCCTTTCGTGTGGCAACTTTTGCTGAGATGTCGGGAAGGTTTTAGAGATGAGTTTGTGTTTGCGTTGCTTCACTGTAGGACAGCGGTAACCAACCTGTGGATCGCGACCCTTTTAGGGGGCCGAACGACCATTTCAAAGTTGTCACCTAAAACCTTCGAAAACACATATTCACTGAAGTTATGAAGTAGCAACGAAATTTGTTTTTTTTAATGGTTGGGGGTCACCACAACACGAGCAACTGTATTAATGGACGCGTTATTGGGAAGATAGAGAAATCATTGCTTTAGGATCACATAATACTTCTGTTCAGCCAATGTTATGCTGGCATTGCCCATAATCGGGACACTCTTTCTTTTTGTCTGTTTTAAACGTTTTGAACATTTGCTGGTTGAATGTAATTGGAATATTTATTTGTGGTATTGTACATTTGAATAATGCAGACACAAACAATCATCATCATCATGTGCCCTACCAGTTGGTGCATCTCCATTTATCACGACCCCTGGTTGCTTGGAACAGTTCTCTTGATATCCCTTTTTCGTTGTATCTCGTCTGATACTACACCCCCACCACCACCACAACATCTATCACCACCACTGCAACTACTACCGCCACCACCACATCTATCACCACCACTGCAACTACCACCGCCACCACCACATCTATCACCACAACTGCAACTACCACCGCCACCACCACATCTATCTCCACCACTGCAACTACCACCGCCACCACCACATCTATCACCACCACTGCAACTACCACCACCACCACAACATCTATCACCACCACTGCAGCTACCACCACCACCACAACATCTATCACCACCACTGCAACTACCACCACCACAACATCTATCACCACCACTGCAACTACCACCACCACCACATCTATCACCACCACTGCAACTACCACCACCACAACATCTATCACCACCACTGCAACTACCACCACCACAACATCTATCACCACCACTGCAACTACCACCACCACCACAATAATCACCACCACAATCAATATTTAACATCATATTCAAGCAGGAGCTCTTGCGCACACTCTACCACAGCTTGTAGCAAAGAATCTCAACACTTCACTAGAGCTATGATTATTTAATGTCCTGTATTCATCGTTGTGTTGATCTACCCCTGCCTCTTCCTCTAGAGGGAAATGCCCATGACCACAAGCAGCATGATGCCGGGAATGTAGGCCTTAAAGTCACTGTCCTGGGCTGAGTCGGAAATGCTGACGCGTGTACTTAGAAAATAACCTACTGAGTTTGATGTGTTTCCTGTTGAATTGAGGTTTTACAAATGTGGGAGTTTCTTCGCCACGCTTGAGCGCCCAACCTATAGGACCAAAGTGCTTGTACTTTAGTGGGACACAAAATAAATTTTAAAAAAGTCGTCATGTTTAATCCCTAAGGGGGAGCTTTAGGTTATAATTATGACTAGTGTGATGAGGTGCTTTGCATGGTTTCCACGAGTACATTGTGGCAAGCAGAAAGTCCGTGCTACAAGTGCCGGCACGAGATACTTGTGGCTAGTCAAGTAAGCGAGAAAAGCCTGAGCTGGACTCGTGGTCAGTTGCTTACCAGAAGTTGTAGAAGACCGTTGTGTTGAGAGAAGATGTAGTTCTTATGTCGCGCGAATGACTAGGGTTTGAATATATCGCAAGTGATGGAAGTGTGAATAATAATTGGAGCATGTCGAATAAATGTAACAGAATAAACTGATAGCATATACAAGGAAGCGGAGCGGCGTTGTGTTATCAATCCTAGACGTTAGAGCAGTGCGAATTAATCATCTAGAGAGCGAGCCATGGCGAGAGCAGATATGTCGTAAGCCAAGGTACATTTCAAGGTAGTGCAAACTCACGACTTCATTCCATAATAGTCTTGAGTGACGATGTAACCCCCCCCCCCCCCCCCCAGACTTAATTCCAACTAGGTTATGTGCGCAATAAAAAATGGCCACCACCTCCTGAGGAGCCTGTCGTGGAAGTGGCTTAGCATTGCACACCGCCAAGAACCCTGAAGAATTGCACACCGCCAAGAACCCCGAAGCATTGCACACCGCCAAGAGCCCTGAAAAGGACTCCTACAGTGCCGATGAGTCTAAAAGAGACAGATCCACATACTGACCCGAACGTCGACGAAGTCGTCTGCATGCGAGCCATTGGGCGACCCGGTTGCCGATCGTGGAGGACCAAAGTGTCTCTCTCTGTCTGTTATCTACCATTTCCTTTGACCTGTTTTGTTTAGGAGGCCATACAGTGCTACCACCGACATATTTATCAGAATCACTTAGTCGTCAAGTTGAAATAGAAAGCCAAACACAATGAGATCAATGGAGGCGGCTGAAACCAGCAGCAAAACAAACTCAGAGGTTGGGAACGCTGAAGAACAATAGGAAGAAGTCATATTTTCTGCAACCTTGATATATTCAGCGTACAGCCCATTTAACAATTTGCAACATTGCACAAATTACCATCCAGGAAGACAGTTCTAATACTCTACCTGACACCAACCTCTACACACATTACCTCCCCTCCCCGCTACTCCCAGACACATGTCCAACCCCTACCCACACGTCCATACTTCCACCATACACACATCATCCCCCCACCGCAATTCATCCCTCCGCCACTCATGTCCCACCCCTCTCCTTTCCCCACATATACACGTAGATATGTCCTTACCTGTCCTTTACGTTATACACAAAACTTGACAGTTCAAGCAGGAAGCAGTAAGAAAGATTAAAGCTAACGTTCAGTTTTCCTAACTTGATATCAAAATAACAACAGTAGTAGTAGCACTTGAAGTACAAGTGGTTGTAGTAGTAACAGTCTCTTTAATAAAAGTAGCAGTAGTTTTAGTGGCAGCAGCAGCAAGGCAGAATTCGCAGCAACATCAGAAGCATCAGCAGTAGTAGCATCAGCAGCAGCAGCAGTAGCATCAGCAGCAGCAGTAGTAGCATCAGCAGCAGTAGTAGCATCAGCAGCAGTAGTAGCATTAGCAGCAATAGTAGCATCAGCAGCAATAGTAGCATCAGCAGCAGTAGTAGTAGCATCAGCAGCAGCAGTAGTAGCATCAGCAGCAATAGTAGCATCAGCAGCAATAGTAGCATCAGCAGCAGTAGTAGCATCAGCAGCAGTAGTAGTAGCATCAGCAGCAGCAGTAGTAGTATCAGCAGCAGCAGTAGTAGTATCAGCAGCAGCAGTAGTAGCAGCAGCAGCAGTAGCAGCAGCAGCAGCAGCAGTAGCAGCATCAGCAGCAGTAGTAGCATCAGCAGCAGGAATAGTAGCATTAGCAGCAGCAGTAGTAGCATCAGCAGCAGCAGCAATAGTAGCATCAGCAGCAGCAGTAGTAGCATCAGCAGCAGCAGTAGTAGCATCAGCAGCAGCAGTGGTTGTACCAGTAGTAATCACAGCCTTAAAAAATTAATTACTGTGAATTTATGTCCCTGTATGTATATCCGTCCCTATTTGATACTCGTTTTTTCTTTTTATGTTTTTTAACCCGATGTATTACTAATAAGTATTATTACACTTTATTTACTTCAGACGCTGGACACGGGGCACTTTTGAAGTCGAGTCGAAAAACCTGCAGCCTTCAAATCAGCATCTTCACTTCGGAAAATAGAAATGGACCTCAGCCAGTTTCAGTCAAATTCAGAAGGAAAACAAACGCCAGATTCGTATTACAATGATCTTATTTCGCGAAAAGAAAACATAATGAGACAACTACCTGTCATCGTCACATCGCATTCATATTCAAGGGGACAAACCCAAGAATATACTGAGGTCGACTTACTATCCGAGTGTTCTACCCCTGTTAGTTATGTACCTGGGAGGTTTTTGCAGTTATGTGATATCGACGCAGAGATAGAAGAAGATGCTAAAATATGGCCTGTTTCCAAACGACCCGCTCTGTCAGATTTAGATGTGAACCTACAACTGTCTAGGACTAACGATGGATACTCACAAAACCAGGTAAGTTTCATCGAGTAATTTTTTTTCTTTTTTTTTCACACTGATATATTTGTTTTCGTGTGATTGTTGATTGTTGAAAGACATCACAGTACTTGGTACATTTCATTTAGTGCTCTGTCCTCATCTTCAGCGGCCAGTAAAGAATTCCAGTTCCGATAGAGCCATAAGCAGTTTAGTTATGTGTCCTCCCAGTCTTTCCTCTGAGTGTAGAGAGTGGACAAGATGCCCTTGTTACTCCTAGCTATACCATTCTCTCCAGACCTTCATGATCTGTTCATGTCTCCTCACTGTTCACTTTCTCCCAAAGTGCCTTGACGACATCTAGTTTGTCATGCATGAATTCCCCACCTTTTCATCAACCAACCTGTCTGCCTATTCACTGCATGCTGCATCATCATCATCATCATCATCAGGTGCCTTGCCGACTGGCGTGGGTGATCATGCCTCTTCATAATCTGCGATCTCCTACAGTATGTATCAGTTCATGTGCCGACACTCCTCCATGCCATGCAACAAGACTTCATTCACGTTGTTAAATCATGCCTCAAAATAAATCATGCTGCATACCCCAGAGAAAATATTCAAACAACGCTCAATACCCAAGACCTTTGAAGCGATGCTTGCCACTCTGCACGCAGCTTGTCTTGTCTTCACCTTTCTTAACATGCTTTGTGAGTTGATTATAAACACATGTGTGTGCAGCTAGTTTTCAAGCCAGTGGAAAGCTGCTGTGACTGCCTCCACCTCCATTCCCACACTAGAAAGTGTATCTTACGCTAGTCTTTTGTTTTGTTTTGCACTTAACATCAGCCATTCACGTTCACAGTAAACCCCTTAGACTTCTCCGGCCTCTTGGATAACAATGATCATTTTATTTGTAGTTTTGGACTGTTTGTGTTGGCACTTCTGACTCCTGCCGTATGCATTTGTTGCACGTGTATGCTGTTGGATTCTTTAAGCCTGCAGTCTCTGTGTCTATTTGTTCCACAGTGGACAGTGCTGGACAGTCTGTGTAGTTGTTGTTGGCATGGGAACAGAGTAGCCATAGGGTGACCCATTTGCTGTGAAAGTAGAACTGCAATAACCTGATTATCTGGTATAAAAATAGTAAGGCAGAGGAGATAGCAAGGATTGATAATATTTCTGGTGGGCCCCGATGGGGGATGACATTTTGAAATGACCAGCTACATAATGGTGAGGATGATGATGTGTCCATGTATTGTTTTTCATAGTTCTGATCTGATTTTAATATAAACAAAATTTGGCTTTCTGTTGCAGTCAATCTGGAAGTCCTCCCGACAAAACCTGGCTAGTTCAAAACTTGTCACCATTGCTGTGTGTTTCATCGTTGCCCTGACCGCACTTGGAGGATTGGTGGCTTTTGTTTAAGTTACTCGCCACCATGGAAAGTTACATAAATGTGGTAAAACCAATCTATGAGCAGTGATAAGCACTTATAGAAGACATCAAATAAAATATCAGAGATAGGCGTTACTGTGTACATTACAAGAAAGAAAGACTAGAGTTTCATTGAAATAAACCTTTCTGAAAGACAATAATTCTTTAAGATTACAGAGAAATTCAAATGACAGCATGAGACTCATTATTGTTAATATCCTTTGAAGCCGGAGTGCATCTGCCTGAGAGGCAAGGAACCAACAGTCTGCATTCAAATGAATCAGATCTGTAAAACTGATGCACATGCAACACTCAGGTTCTGGAGCAGGACAGCAGTTCAGAAGTGGACGAACAACCAGAACTTTCCACCAGAGTGTACAGCTGGTGATCGCGAAGAAGAAGAAGATTGTTAACAGCTTTCCAAGATAACTTTTATATTGTGCAATGAGGAAGCATGGGAATTACAGACTATAGTGACAGCGAGGATGACTGACTCACAAGACCTGTCAGTGTTAGGAAAAGTCTTCAACAGTCAGAGCAAGGGATTTCAGGGCCATAATTGCTATCCCGTCTGTTTAGTTTGCTTCTTCTCAAATGCTCAGTTCTTAACCTTTTTCTTCTTCTTCTGCCTTCTAACCCCCCAGTGGAGCATAGGGCAACAACCAACTCATGCCAGGTTGTTCTATCCTTCGCTTTTGCATGCAGCTCTTCCCATGGGATCTCCATCTCCATGTATTTTTGGTCTTTCTTTTTTTTGTGTGCCCTCCTGGGCTCCAGTGCAATGACCTTCTAGTTTTCTCAGGTTTTCTCAATGTGTGTCCTATTCAACACTAGCATCTTTTCCTCACCTCTTGATCCAATGGAACTTGTTTAGTTCTCTCCCAAAGCTCTACATTAGGGATTTTAGCATACCATGTAATTTCCTCTAATCTGAACAGGCACCAGTTAATTTACGTTTTCTGTTTATTAGTAATTGCCTTAGTTGTTCTTCATGTTTCCGCTCCATACAACAGCATTGATTTGACATTAGAAATTAGAATTTTAAGTTTATTGGTTTTAATTTCTTTTGACCTCCACTTATTCCCTCTCAGCCTATCTGTAGTAATTCTTCTCTTTGTTCTCACTCTCTTCCTGATGGTTCCCCCCCCCCCCCCCCACCCCGTTTTCTATGCAACACAGTCCTTGTCATTTTGTTCCCATAAATCTGCATCTAAATCTGTGAGAGAATTATTTGATAGAAATGTGAATACCACAATGCTAGGACTCGGAGCACACATTCACTGAAGGGGCCTCAATCACTCAGCTTTATGTGAATGTGGAGCACAGGCCTTTAAAGAAAGGAAGAGAGAGAAAAGTCAAACCTACAATGCAGATTATTATTTTTAAATGATTTTTTTCTCTTGTAAATTTCACTTGAGCTCGTCTGCAGGCAGATCAGGTGGCAGTGATTGTCTCTGTTTCTTTGTCCTGAATAACCTGTGTGGACAGTATCTGCTGCAACTGTCTCACCTTCTATCTGTCCTTAATCACCTGTGAGGACAGTATCTACTACTACTGTCTCACCTTCTATCTGTCCTTAATCACCTGTGAGGACAGTATCTACTACACCTGTCTTCCTAATTCTCTCTGTTCTGAATCACCTGTGTGGACAGTATCTACTACTACTGTCTCACCTTCTATCTGTCCTTAATCACCTTTGTGGACATAATCTACTACACCTGTCTTCCTCATTCTCTCTGTTCTGAATCCCCAGTCAGTACAGAAATCTTTACCAGTACATCTTGAACTTAAGTGTGTCCTTGTTCTTCTTGATCTTGAAAAATCTGTTATCTTTCCTTGTGACTGCCAGCAAAAAATCCTTGATTTCTTAAACTTTTCTTAGCATGGTTTGTGTTACTAATCTCCTTTCTCTGTCAAAACACATTTACTTAATGTTAAAAAAGTTGGAGGAGATGCTCATGAAAGATCATTGCAAAAGAACAAGCTGAAACGAAGCTATTGATGCACCTTTCCTACAGATTTATTTTAATTTGCATTGTGCTATTTTAATGTGCTCAACTATAGTTCTGTTGATGACCTGTGTATAGTCAATAGTGTGTGACAAATACTTCCATTATCACCCACCAACACTGGACTATAGGTTACTCCATAACTGTTTTGTGGTGCCCCAATTGAACCACAATTTAATTGTAAACATAAAAAAAAAATTTAAAGGACTCTTTTCCACACCTCAGGCTTTTTGGGCATATTGAGCTAGACCTGTATTATATAGACCAGTTCAGCACATCTCTATTTGCCTTAAAAAAAAAAAAAAAAAAAAAAGCATTAATAAGGGAGATAAGGACAAATTAAACACAGTAAGTGCAGCACCAGGGGACGCAACAAAATCATTTTAAGCACATTACAAAGAGAAACAACACCACCAATTTCATAATAGTGGCCCGCAAGATTGTTTTTCCTTCCAGATTTGCATTCAGTAGGATTAACATCTCAAAGGTGAGAATCAAACAGGGAAAAATCCTAGAAACTCTGTTAAAGTGTTTAACTATTTACTATGTAAACAAGTAAATGACCATGTTCCACAACTTCAGGCATATTGGGCACCTTGGGCTAGAGGTATACTGTATATATGAACAAGCAATCTTTACTTCCCAGGACTATACCTTGTGCCCATTTTAGGCTGGGTCGACCTGTGAGCCAATGTCATTTGAAAAAAAAGTCTGGCTCCACCAGAACCTGAAACTATGAATATGTGATCCGCCGGTGACCCTCTTGACGGCCCATCTAATTTAAATGTTCTAAATGGTTATGAGAAATACAATGAGATAAGATTCTTAAGAACACACTGATACATGCTGCAGAAGATCACAGATTGTAGAGAGGCATGATCACCCACGCTAGTCGGCAAGACACCTGATGATATGGTTATACTGACCTCGGCTCCCTGGTTGTCTCATCCTCAAATAGGTACCAGGTATAGTTTCTGGGATTTGCACCTGATTTATTCTCACCTTTTTGATGTAAATCCTACAAACTGCAAAAATGAAGGGGAAACAATTTTGCTGGCAACTACCGAAAGGAAATAAATTGTTGTTTCCCTTGGTGTTGCGCCTAAATTAATTTAGTACTTCTCCTGGTGTTTCGCTTACCATATTTCAGTGTTTCCAAAACTTTACTTAATCGCCGCCTTTTTTTTTTTTCAATTAACATTTTCCCACAGCGCCCTAACATAAGTAAAAGTATGACTAATCACATGTAAGAGATTAAAATAACTTGTTTATCTTCGAATATTTAACGGCGCCCATGTGAAGAGGTCGCGGCTTCCCCGGGCGCCGCGGCGCAAAGTTTTAAAATCACTGCTGTGTTTAATTTGTCATGATCTCCCTTACATGTTGGTTTTATGGTGTATGTAACTGAATGTTCCCCAGACGCTTGGCACATGTTTTCTGTAAATTTGTAGATAATTATGTTTTTAATGATTTTTCATGGGAACATGTTTCCTTTGGCGGCAAAAATTAAAGGAAAAATAAACAGTAGTTTTTGTATATAGAGTACTGACTTTATTTTGTATCTATGATTTGTGAATTTCATTTTATTTTTGCTGTCGTCTATGTACTTCTCGCCCTTTTTAGGATGCAATTTTCGTTTTTTTTTAAGCCCTACTCTGGCTTTTGCCAGGGGCCGCAATATAGCCTGGCCATAAATATGGTATAAAGGCTGAACGCGGTTTCTGGGACCTCTCCACGGCGATCCTCATCCACATGGTGGCACATTGTGTCATCGGGTGTTTATCGCTTGTGTGATGTCCTGGTGGGGTAGAAAGTCAGTCAGTCAGTCAGTTGTTGTCGTCTGTGGCTAAGACGTTGCGAACCTGCTTTGTAATTCCGAGGTACCAGGTTTATTTTCAACTGCGGGATGACTGACAGTAGATCGCCTTGCATTGGTGTTGACTGTTATACTGAAAGCTGACCACTTAATGACCAATGGGGAAACTACCAAGCGTAAAAATTGCCTTATCAAACCCCAGACAGCCAACAAATGCTGGGGATGGTTCTGCAACCTCCTGTACAGGATACACAACCAACTTTTATTTCCTCTTCGTTTAACTTCTTCGACTAGTTTACGAATTAATTTACTTGTTACCTGTCAGTACTGACTTTAATGATGTTAAGAGCGTTAAGCACATGACATCACAGTACAGGCGAATACAGTGACGTCATAATCAGGGCCATGCCGAAGTATGATACAGAGAGCAGCCTTATCAGGCGGCACTGAAAAAAATAGGGGGGGGGGGGAGGGAGGCTGGACTAAGCAGCGAAATCAAAATACAGGTACTTTGATCTGAGAGCGCGAAGCAATCAGGAATAGCAGTTCGAAAACGTGTAGCATACTGAGAAAATCCACAACAGGGGACTGGTCATAGTAACGGTTTACGGATGACCGCCCAAATCTGACACGCACCAAAGACTTGCAGAATTCTGTTATCAATTTAAAGAAAAATGAAAAAAAAAAAAAAGTGAAAAAAAGGAAGGAAAAAAGAGTGAGGGGGGCGATTTATCGGTGAATGTGGGTCTAGAATTGTGAGGCCTGCCTGTCAGTCCGGCAAGTGTGTGGGTGGGTAGTGAGGCAAGCCTGTCAGTCCGGCAAGTGTGTGGGTGGGTAGTGAGGCAAGCCTGTCAGTCCGGCAAGTGTGTGGGTGGGTAGTAAGGCATGCCTGTCAGTCCGTCCGGCAAGTGTGTGGGTGGGTAGTGAGGCATGCCTGTCAGTCCGTCCGGCAAGTGTGTGGGTGGGTAGTAAGGCCTGCCTGTCAGTCCGGCAAGTCTGTGGGTGGGTAGTGAAGCATGCCTGTCAGTCCGGCAAGTGTGTGGGTGGGTAGTGAAGCATGCCTGTCAGTCCGGCAAGTGTGTGGGTGGGTAGTGGAGCATGCCTGTCAGTCCGGCAAGTGTGTGGGTGGGAAGTGAGGCCTGTCTGTCAGTACGGCAAGTGTGTGG